GCTGCTCTGGAGCGGGACTTTCCCCCCCGGGATGCTCCGGAACCAGTGGTAGCTGATGGGGGGGGACCCGCTGGCCTCGCACGTCAGGCTGGTGCTGGCTCCGGCCGGGACTGTCAGCCCCAGCTCGCCAACCCTGATGATGGGCTTGGTGGCTGCCACTGGAAGACAAAGCAGAGAGGCCCAGGTCACACTGCCCTGGCTGTGGTGGGGATGGTCCCTCCACCACGGCAGTTCTCGCTCTGGCCATCAGGTGCCTTCTCAGGATGAAGTGGTTCTCACATCACCTCCCTGCGTAGGCTGAGCTCAGCTATGCCTGCATCAGCTGTGCCACCCGGGGCACTACACACAGGGTCCTGTTCTGCTGGGCTGATGCTGTCTTTGTGCCTCTATAAACCACCTCTGCCTGGGCAGAGGGAGGTCAGGCATGTACTGGTGAAATTTAGTCAAAGAACAGCCATACAGTATCCCAGGGACTTCCTGGCCAGTGCATGCTCCTGAAAAACACTAAAGCATTGGATACAGGTAGACTCAGGGACAAACTGATAAGTGAGGAGCCACAGATCCTCCCAAAGCTGCTTTGTCTTGGGTGGAATTTCACTCCCTGTCCTATTTGCTGCTTCTTGCTGGAGCCTGACACTGCCCAGCAAAAAGCTTTTGCATGGAAACACATGGTCACTCTGCCTGCCTGCTCTACCCAATTCCCAAAAGCCTTCCCCTCCCACACAGCCTCCTTCTTGCGTTTACCTTTAACAACCTCCACTTTTGTCGTGATCTCCTTTGCTATCAGGCTGTTATTCCCGGCTCTCCAGGTGACCTGGCAAGTGTAGGTTCCCCTGTCAGTGATCTCCAGGTTCAGGATGACGAGAGACACGTTCCCTGGGGTGTCCTTTGGGACACTGACCCTGGCCCTGTACTCAGACAGGAGCACATGGTCCTCAGAGCCATCTCTGCGAAAGATGGTGCCTGAACTCTGGTCATGCACCACAGACCAGGTGAGGCTTTGCTGCACAAGGTCTTCCACAGGCACGTAGGTACATGGCAGAGTGACAGATCCCTTCCATACAGCTTTGATCTCTCTGGGGCCACTCAGGTCCAAAAAAGCTGCAGAAAGAAAGTAGGAAGAAAAATAAGCCACAAAGCAAGCAGGGTGAAGACAGCTCCCAAGTGGTAAAGCCGTGGCTGCCGAGAGCATTGGCAAGGAGAATCCATTTGACGAGAAGCACAAGGGGTCAGTGTGTATGATGAGGGATGGTCTGCTCAGGGGTGGGTTAACCAAAAGCATGGTATGAGGCAGAGGGACAGGTGGCAACTGATGGCCAGGGGCACTAACTCCTGCCTCATGTGCAGCTTGGCTCTCCTGCTCTCTCTGGTGCTTCCCTGCCACCACTGACGCTGGGCAGAGCACAGCACCGGAGGATTAGCCCTGAGGGAAGGAGTCTGTCTCAAGCTCAAGTTGCAGCTCCCTGGTCTCAGCCAGTGTCTGCTCCAGATATCACCCTTTGGGCTTCCAAGGAATAACAAAGCCCTGTTTTTATGAACTTGCCTCTACTACCCATTTGTTTTTCTGGAAGACAGTGCTCTCTCAGCCTAAACTGAACATGAGCAACTTAAACCATGGGGGAAAGAGGTCTAAGACTCTTTAAATTTTCCTGTAAAAATGAAGACCGCTGCCTTTGTCCAAGTACATTCCTGTCACTCTGAAGGCTGAATCTAAGCATCCATAAACACTT